GGAGCCTGGTTGGCGACGCGAGAGAGGGGTCACCCGTGACAATAACTGCCCGGGCAGTCGGCTGCAACACCACAGGTCGGTACACCCAATAGCGTCGAGCCCGCATCTCAGAGGCGCAGGCCGTTGTTCGGCCACTGCCAGTTTGTCAGTCGCGCGCCGCCCTGCCAGTACCTCGTCGGCATGGTTTTGCATTGAGGCGGGATGCGGCCTCAGGATCGTGCAGTGATGTTACTTGTCTCCAGCTTGCGCGGGTCTCGGCCCGATCGTCGCACGGGCAGGGGCCGTCTGGCTCACCCCTGCGCTCGCACTTTGCAGCTGGATGCTGCCTCTGCCTGGCGCAGGCCGTGGTGTGGCCAGCGTGGGGCAGCTCACCGTGCAGTGGTCGCCGCCACAAGCGGGGTTTTGCGCGGGCCGTGGTGCGGTCGACGCGTGGGCCTCGGCATGACGGTGCCTCCGAAGTGCGGCGCCGTTCGCCGTGGCGCGAGGGAGCACGCTCCATCATTGGAGCCACCGGGTCCCCCTCTTCCTCCCCACTGCGAAGAGAATCAGGATTGGCGCTGGGCTCCTCCTCCTCCTGCCCTGTCCTCCTGTTCCCCTCTCTTCCTCCTTCCTGCCCCCTCGTCCTCCTGCTCTGCCCCCGTCCCCGCTCCTTTCCCCGTCTCCCCCCTCCTCCCTCTCCTCCCTCCCCCCTCTTCCTCCTCCCCCTCCCCCTCTTCCTCCTCCTCCTCCTCCTCCTCCTCCTCCTCCTCCTCCTGACTCCTGACTCCTCCTCCTCCTCCTCCTCCCTCCTCCTCCTCCTCCTCCTCCTCCTCCTCCTCCTCCTCCTCCTCCTCCTGACTCCTGACTCCTGACTCCTCCTCCTCCTCCTCCTCCTCCTCCTCCTCCTCCTCATCTCCCCCCCTTCTCCCCCCTTCTCCTCCCTCCTCCCGGCCTTGGCTCGAGAGTCGCAGATCCCGCGCGAGCACATCTCCATACGTACTCTTTCAGCCCGGCGGGGGGGGGCGGCGCCTGGCCGCCCCGGCCGCCACCTTCCTTCTCCCCCGCCCTCGCCCCCAACCAACTCTCCTAAGGTCGCCAGTGCAGCACGAGCCCCGAGGGAGACGGTCATCCCCTCAGGAGGAGGAGGAGGAGGAGGAGGAGGAGGAGGAGGAGGAGTCAGGAGGAGGAGTCAGGAGGAGGAGGAGGAGGAGGGAGGAGGAGGAGGAGGAGGAGGAGAGGGTCAGGAGAGGAGGAGGAGAGGAGGAGGAGGAGGAGGAGGAGGAGGAGGAGGAGGAGAGGAGGAGGAGTCAGGAGGAGGAGGAGGCGGAGGAGGAGGAGGAGGAGGAGAGGGAGGAGGAGGGGGAGGGGACGGAGGAGGAGGAGGAGGAGGAGGAGGAGGGGAGGAGGGCGAGGAGGGCGCCGCGCAGAGGACGAGGAGGAGAGAGGCCTGCTGCCCAGACCCCCCTCGCGTCGTGACAGAGTCACGCCAGGAGGTTTTTGGACGTCCTCGGCCTCTGGGGGTCGCCGCCGTGCCCTGGGACCGTCAACACAAGCATCCGTGGGGGAAAGCGTCTTCGGGACCCCCGTCCTCCTCCTCCTCCTCCTCCTCCTCTCCCTCCTCCTCCTCCTCCTCCTCCTCCTCCTTCCTCCTCCTCCTCTCTCCTCCTCTTTCTCCTCCTCGTCCTCCTTCTCCGCCTCATCCCCCTGTCGGGCCGGACGAAAGGGGGGGGATTGGGAAAGGGGGGGTTACGACATCTGCTGCACGCAGCTGGTTTCGGCCTCACCGAGGGGCCCATGCCTCGGTACATGGCCGCCTCCCAGCGCCGGGAGGCGCAGGGAGAATCAGCTACGTGAGCTGATTCTCAAACCCCACCTTTGCTATCCCCCCCTTTCGCCCGACCCGACATTTGGACGAGGACTGGTCCCAGGAAACAGGTCGAGAGCTCTCGAGCCCGACGCTGTGAAGAATCATGACGGTGTCCCCTGCCGAGGCTGATCGAGAGCTCTCGAGCCCGACGCTGTGAAGAATCATGACGGTGTCCCCTGCCGAGGCTGACGTGCGGTTTCGGCATTCCTGTGCCAATCGCCAGTCCATCGGCGACGTGTTGCCGAATTCAAGCTGGATGGTCCCTCCCAAGGTCCATACGGGTTTCCGTATAACTTTCTGGTTGTTGCATAGTTTTCGGGCTCGCCATCGCAGGCTCTTTACCAGGAATCTTGGTTGTCCTTCCCGGGCTGGTCTTGAGGTTGGTCTCCAGAGTCCAGGACCCGTTCCCCTCAGGACTCGTTTGTTCCATGCCAATTTCGGGCGGGAATTGTAGGGGAAGGTCGGAGGGGGGAATGCAGTCGAAGCCCATGGTACGGATGGAGTGTTCCCTCGTGCGATTCCGAGCTCCCTTGGCGCATGTCGTGGGCACCATCATCCGCAAGGAAGCGTGTTCCAAGGGTGGAAGAAGGGCAGCCTTGCATCCTTACCCCTTACCTCGTTGACGCGTCGTCAGCCCTTCATGGCTGCCATCCGTGGGCCCGTTTTGACGTCCATGGGTCTTGCAGCCTTAGCTTGCGTACTGAGCGACGTAACCGCTACCAGCGGGCCGCCACCTCCACCGAGAAGGTCCACGATGCCTCCCCGAGTTGGATCTTGGAGATATCTCGAGCGAGATGCCGCAGAAGAGGAGTGAGGGTCGGGGATTGGGGGTATCATTTCCAAGGAGAGAGAAGGGACCTAGACCTAGACCTAGAGAGAGGAGGGCTTCCGCAGCCACTTCTGGCCCCAGGACCACCAACAGACATGCCTGGAATGAAAGTCGGAGGAGGGTGAGGAAGGACGAGGCTGGAGGAGTAGGGCGAGCGGAGGAGGACGAGGAGGAGGAGGAGGAGGAGGAGGAGGGGGACGATCAGTGGACGAAGTAGAGGAGGAATGTCGTCGACGACAATGAGGCGAGAGGAAGAGGAGGAAGAGGAGGAGCATGATGTTTATGATGATGCTGATGCTGATGCTGATGATGCTGATGCTGATGATGCTGATGCTGATGCTGATGATGCTGCTGCTGCTGCTGCTGATGATGATGATGATGATGATGCTGATGATGATGATGATTATGGCAGTGATGATGATGGTAGCGATGGTAGTGATGGTAGTGATGGTGATGATGATAATGTTGATGCTGCTGCAGCTGTTGATGATGCTGATAACGATGCTGATGCTCATACTCATGATGGTGCAGCTGATGATGATACTGTTGGTGGTGATGATAGTAATGATGATGATGAGAATGATGATGATGGTGATGATGACGATGATGATGATGATAATGATGATGAGGATCATGCTTCTGATGATGAGGATGATGATGATGATGCTGATGCTGATGCTGATGCTGATGCTGATGCTGATGATGATGATGATGATGATGATGATGATGATGATGATGATGCTGATGCTGATGCTGATGCTGATGCTGATGCTGATGCTGATGATGATGACGATGATGCTGATGCTGCTGCTGCTGATGCTGCTGATGATGATGAGTAGGAGGATGAGGGGGAGAAGAAGGCGGAGGAGGAGGAGGAGGAGGAGGAGGAGGGAGGAGAGGAGGGAGGAGGAGGAGGAGAGAGAGGAGGAGGAGGAGGAGGAGGAGGAGGAGAGGAGGAGGCGGAGGAGGAGGAGGAGGAGGCTGGAGGAGGAGGAGGAGGCGTGGAGACTCCAGAACTTTCAGTGCTCAGGCGGGGCGGAGGAGGATGAGGAGCTGGAGGAGGAGGAGGAGGAGGAGGAGGAGGAGGAGAGGAGGAGGAGGAGCAGGAGCAGGAGGAGCAGGAGGAGGAGGAGGAGCAGGAGGAGGAGGAGGAGGTGGAGGAGGAGGAGGAGGAGGCGTGGAGACTCCAGAGCCTTCAGCTTTCAGTGCTCAGGCGGAGGAGGATGAGGAGCTGGAGGAGGAGGAGGAGGAGGAGGAGGAGGATCAGGAGGAGGAGGAGGAGCAGGAGGAGCAGGAGGAGCAGGAGGAGGAGGAGGAGGAGGAGGAGGAGGAGGAGGTGAAGGTGTGGAGGAGCACGACGAGGACGGGAGCGAGCACTATGAGGAGCAGCGCCAGCGACAGCGACAGCGGCAAGGAGGCCCCTGGCCCCGCCACGGCGGCCCCGTCCACGCCGCCCCAGATCTCCAACGCTGGGCGTTGTTTGTTTTTGTTGTTTGTTTGTTTTTTCATTGTTTCTCCTCTTTTTTTGTTTGTTTCTCAGTGCGAGGATCACCCAGAGGTCCAGACCCCTGCCCCCGCCGACCGGCTTCCCACCCCGAGCCGTTGCAGCCGAGACGCCGGAACAGGGACCGCTCTGGGCTCCGTCCTGGGGCCCACCTTAGGGGCCGTCTGGGGACGATCTATCTTTTTGGCCTCTTGAGGGCCCGTCGGGGGGCCCTCTGGGACCGTTTCTGGCCCCTCTGCGGCGCCTCTGGGGCCGTCCTGGAGGGGCTCCGGGGCGTCCGGCCGCTCCTCACGATCTGTGCACGGGGCAGCCTCTTCGTGGCCTCGGCTCGCGTGGCCGGAGGAGCCCCTTCGCACCTCTTCCACCGAGCCTTCTCTTTGGGTCAGGGGAGGAAGAGGTACCCATACCTCTACCCTCCCCTCGTTCTCTCCTTGTTGGGCCTCCTGGGCCTCCATCGTCGCCACCGCTGGATTCGCTTCAAAGTCCCTGTCAGAACGCACCCCAGGCGAGGTCGGGGGAGCAGCATTATCGGTCTCTTTTGGTTTCCCCACTGGGTGGAAGGCAAAGAGTGAAATCTGAAGTGCCGTTTCGGTGGATTTTGGAGGGAATCTGCAAAATGTGGACCACAGGACGGCTGGATATTTCACCCTGGGCCCCCCTGCTTCAGAAAATGCTCAGTTTCATCGCTCCTGAGATGGCAAGGAATGCGTGTTCTGGGACGGAATCGACCAGAGGCCTCTCGCTGCGATATGTGCTGTTCGCGGCGAGAGCGCCGTGGCTCTGCCAGCGACGGGACGGAGGCTTCCGCGGCGGCCTCCCAGCTGCCGAGGGCTGAGGCCGAGGCTGTCGCGGCGCTCCCCCCTCTCTTCCACGGCCTCCGTACATAACCTGCGCAGCGCCCCTGCAGCGATGCCCGGCGCGATGTCCAAGGCGCTGGCCCTGCTGGCCGCCCCGCTGTCCGCGGTGGCCCTCCAGGCGGTGGGCAACGGCGAGGACCGGGCTCTGAGGGCTGCAGGCAGGGGAGGTGGAAGAGGGCTCTGTGGGAGCCTGTGCAGTCAAGAGGCTGAGAGAAGGGCCGCTCTGGGCCTTGAGGGGGCTCGCTGTTCCCTGGGTCATTCCGTGGTCGTTCCTCCAGCCCTCCTCGAGCACCCAGCCGCGTCTGGTGCCCAACAGGGGTTTCGTGTCTTATACATCGCTCCTTATTTCAACAGCCCGAACGGATGCGCCAGCGGTGGCTTTCCGCATCCGTGGGGAGCTGGCCCGAGCGTTCTTCCCTGCCCTCCTCCCCGGACCTCTTCTCGCGATGCTCAAGTCGCGACGAGAGGTCCTTGGCTGTCTTCGCCATCCGGGGGCCGTCACCGGGCCCCCAGACCTGTCAAGAACAGCTCGGGAGGAGAAACCGGCCCTCGAGAGGAGTCTAGAGCTCTGGTCGGGTTGACCCAAAAGGGGGTCCAGCGACAAGGGGGTGGTGCAATAGATTTGGTGCAAGTGGTTGGTAGGGTTGCAATACCTTTGGGGCGTGCAATGCATTCTGGGGCGCAGATGTATTGCTGGAGTTTCGCGCGCAATGCATTATCTGCCATACAGTGCAGTATAATCCACCGGCGCAATGCATTTGCAATACGCTTGCCTCAAAGCTATTGCACCACCCACCTTCAGCTGGACCCCCTTTCGGGTTTGGAGGATCTGGGGGGGGGGCAAGCTGCGAGAGAGACCCGGGTCCTCTCCCTGGGCTCCTGGTGCGGTCATCATTCTCCTCCCCCGCCTCCCCGCCTTCCGCCTCGCCAACCGCCGCTGCTGCTGCTTCTCGCGCTCCCTCTCGTGCTCCTCCTCGCTCGCACCCCTCCTCCTCCTCCTCCTCCTCCTTCTCCTCCTCCACGGTCGGGCGGGCCCGCTCCTACTGTCGGGTCCGATTAGGATGACGACACTGCATAGCAAGGTGTAACCCTGTGTCCTCTTGAATCGCCTAGCCCCTCGTGGGGCCGTCCCGTTGGACGAATGGGCGCCGTGTCCGTGTGCGTGTGTCCGTGTCTTGTGTCATCTCCATCGCGTTTCGCGTCCTCGGAAGAGGCACGCTTCCCTCGGAAGAGGCTTGTGCCCCCTCCAACCAGTACCGACTGCACCTCCAGAGATCAGCCACGCGAAGAGGGGTGTGGGGGGAGGGGGGAGGGCTTCGTAGAAGCACCCGTGCTGCTTTTAAGGCGCGGGCTTCATCTGTAGATGTGAGGCTGTCGCCTTCTTAGAAACAGCTTCCTTCTAATAAGCCCTCCCTGATGGGCTTGTTTTCCACCACCACCACCACCACCACCATAAGTCGGAGTGGGAGGGGGTCCTCCTCCTCCTCCTCCTCCTCCTCCTCCTCTTCCTCCTCCTCGTCCTCCTCCTCCTCCTCCTCCTCCCCCCTCCCTCCACCCCGTTGTGCGCGCGGCCAAAGAAAGAGGGATGGCCGCCGCTCCGGCGCACCTCTCTCGCTCTCCGTGCCCTCGGGCGCGCCGCCAGGCCAGGTGCGGGGCCTGCTCTCTGCTCTTGATTTACTCCTGCTCCCGCTCGCGCCCTACTTCCCCTCCTCCTCCTCCTCTCCTCCTCCTCCCCTCAGCCTTCTCCCCCTCCTCCCCCTCCTCCCCTCCTCGTCGTCCTCCTGCTCCTCCTCCTCCTCCTCCTCCTCCTCCTCCTCCTCCTCCTCCTCCTCCTCCTCTCCCTCCTCCCCCTCCTCGTCGTCCTCCTCCTTCTCCTCCTCCCTCTCCTCGTCCTTGGGGTACCAGGCCGCTCCTGCGCCGCCAGGCCGGGTGCGGCTCCTGCCGCTCGCTCCTCCCGCTCGCGCGAGCGCTTCGATCCGATGCGGTGGGGCCCGCAGGATCGTGGTTCGGGTCGGGCTAGCTCGGGGACGGTGGTGATGGCATCTGGCGCAAGGGCCGCTATCCCAGCAGAAAGGAGGAGGAGAAAGAGGAGGAACGGGAGGAGGAGGAGGAGGAGGAGGAGGAGGAGATGGAGAAGGAGGAGTAGGAGGAAGCGGAGGCGGAGATGGAGGAAGAGGAGGAGGAGGAGGAGGAGGAGAAGGATAATGATGATGATGATGCTGATGCTGATGCTGATGATGATGATCATGATGATGATCATGATGATGATGATGATGCTGATGATGATGATGATGATGATGATGATGATGATGATGATGATGATGATGATGATGATGCAGATGCTGCTGCTGCTGATGATGCTGATGATGTTCATGATGATGATAATGATGATGCTGCTGATGATGGTGATGATGATGATGGTTATGATGATGATGATGCTGATGATGGTTATGATGATGCTGATGATGATGCTGATGATGCTGATGATGATGAGGAGGAGGAGGATGCCGCTGCTGCTGCTGATGATGATGATGATGGTGATGGTGGTGATGATGATGATGATGCTGATGCTGCTGATGATGATGATGATGCTGATGATGATGATGATGATGCTGATGATGATGATGATGATGATGATGATACATTTGCTGCTGCTGGTGATGATGATGGTGATGATGCTGCTGCTGCTGATTATTAGGATGACGATGAGGATGAGGATGAGGGTGAACAGGATGATGATGATGATGATGATGATGATGATGATGATGATGATGATGATTATGATGATGATGATGATGATGCTGCTGCTGCTGCTGATGATGATGATGATGATGATGATGATGATGATGATGATGATGATGATGATGATGATGATGATGATGATGATGATGATGATGATGATGATGATGATGATGATGAGGAGGAGGAGGAGGAGGAGGAGGAGGAGGAGGAGAAACATGCAGCACGCGCAGGGCGGGGAGGGTTAAGAGGAGGACGACGACGTGGACGAGGGCGTCGTTGGAGGAGGAGCAGCAGCAGAAGCTGGAGGGGCAGGAGGCAGGAGGAGCCTTTGGACCCGCCCCCTCCCTCCGCACAGCCCCGGCTCAGGCCTCGCCCCCGCGAGCTCAGTCGGGCTCGCTGTCCGCCAGCCGCCAGTTGGCGGTTCGGGCTGTCCTTCAGACAAGCCAGAGGGCTTCTCGGATCCGAAGCGTTTATTCCCGCCAGGGGGATCGACCTTTGGGGTTCGCGGCGGGCGGTGGATATCCGTATCCACCGCTTCCTGGGGTTCCAGGACTTCGGTTGCCCAGGTGGTGGAGATGGGCACGTCCCCTCCTCGCATCAGAAGCATTCCTGCCTCTCTGAGAGGGCCCTTCGGAGCCCACGACCGCTTCAGGGGCGCCCCCCCCCACCTTCCCAGAAGGCCACCCGCTACTGCTCGCCCCTTGTGGGAGCGCCCCCCTCCAGCCGCAGACCGCGGCGAACCCAGCGCCACGCCACGGGGCCCGTAGAAGGCCATCCTCGCCCCGCCCCGCCGCGCGCACCGCCAAGCCTGAGATCCGACGTCCTAGGTCACCCGCGGGGGGGCGATGAATCGCCCGTGGCGGGTCGCGGCCTGGGCCAGAGCGTTGACCCTTCTCCAAGAGGGCGGCGCGAGGGCGCGAGCACGCGACGATGACCGCGCGCGCCGTGGCATCTCCCAACCCAACCTTCCCGTGGCATCTCTCGAGCCGGGCCGCTCTGCGCAGGGCCCGAGGCCGGGATGACGCGACGCCGGGATCTCAGGACACAGCCTCTGTCTCTGCACGAACGACATGGGTACGGGAAGAGTGGGTACAATGCCCAACAGCAGATCTGGTTCATTCTGAAACAGGACTCGCTGTCCACGCCGCCGCGGCCTTTGTCCATTCGAGACAGAAGGTCGCATGCCCAACAGCGGCCGCTGCTGGTTTGGGACAACATTTGCTGCAGGGCATTGTACCCATTCTTTCCATACCCGTTTCGGGCGTTCAAAACTGCCACCGAGGGAGCGATCTCGGAGAGCGATCGGGCGGGCGATGCCCGCCGCGCCGCCGCGCCGCCGCGCGGGGCTCGCGCCGCTGTTGCTGCTGCTGCCCACCCTCGCGCCGGTGCTGGCCGGCGCCTCGCGCCTGCGGCACGCCGCCGGGCGCGCGGCCGGCCCGGCGGAGTTCACGCCGCTCGTCGTCGGCGGAGGTAAGAGGGGGGTTAGATCGGGCTGGACGAGAGGGGCTAGGCATCGCTCGGACGTGTGCATTTTTCATTCGGCGAGGACCATCGAGGAGCATCCTTGATCATTTGGCGAAAAACCACACACGAAACAGCGAAAACACAGGGAATGGACGTCCGAGCGATGGCCATGGGGGGGGATTGGGATTGGGGAAGGGCCCCACCGAGGGGCCCATTCCTCGACACATGGCCGCCTCCGGCACCAAGAGTCGCTGGGAAAATTAGCTACGTGAGCTGAGTCTCAAACCCCCCCTTTGCCATCCCCCCCTTTCGCCCGGCCCGAGTTGGATGGCCAAGCGGCGAGCTTTACACGTGCCAGGGCCAGTGACAATGTCCATCATATCATATGATTCAAGCAGTGGCGAAGCGTCCTGGCGTGCCTACAGCTCTACCAAGCAATGTTCTAAGAACCTGTTGTGGTTCCCACAAAATGTTCCTAGAACATGTCTGGCGGAGTCTGTCTTGGTTGAACACATCGGGTTTATGTTCTAAGAACACTGTTTTTGTTCTTAGAACATGTTTGGGTTCTAAGAACATTTCGTGGTAGGACTATAGGAATGCCAGGACGGTCGGTCCCTGCTCAATTGGATGGCCAAGCGGCGGGCTTTACACGTGCCAGGGCCCGGACAATGTCCATCATACCATGTGATGCTTGTCCACCAGTTTGTGGCAAATGGCGGCCCAAACACAGCGAAGGCTTTTTGGTGCAACGCCTGCCGCCCGCAGAACCCGCAGGCCTGTCATACACTGGGCGTTGCCCGGTAGCGTTGCAGCGAAGCCCCATGGGACAGGGCCCAGATACCTTAATGTATGCTTGCGCGGTCCCCACGTGTTCGCCCAGGAGCCTGGTTTTGCCAACACACACATACCTGTCCTTGTGGTTGACATCACCTTATCTCTATACCTACGACTGGTATCACCAAAGAGTGGCAAGAGTCGTCGGATAGCCATCGGCCGCTGAAAGTTGGTAGTTCTGGACCCCCAGGTTTCAATCTACTTCGGGCGTCCTCGCACTTCAATCATCGCGTGGTGTTCCCGCATCCTCCTTCGTCTTCGGGGTGCCGGTTGGAACCCAGTATGGTTTCAACATGTTTCTACTTAATACTTCTACCCACTTCTTCCGACCGATGGCTAGCAAAGGGGCTAGCATCACCCGCATTCGCCGCGCGGAGCCTCGCCTTGCCAGCCTGACTCACATCCCTATCTCTATGATTGGCATCACCTTATCTCGGTTCCAGGTCTGCAGGAATCTCTGCGTTCCGGAAGACGCCTCCCCAAGATGGTCCTCTCCTTGGGCCTGTGAACCCTGGGGCCGTGGATCAGAGCTCGAGGCTTGCTGTCATCGGAGAAACATGGGCGACCGGGGCTATCCGTTCGGGTGCTGCTGCCAGAGATGGCCCAAGGCCCAAGCTCCAGAGCTTCCCCAGGGAGGGGGAGGAGGAGGGGGAGGTGGAGGAGGAGGAGGAGGGGGAGGAGGGAGAGGAGGAGGAGGAGGAGGAGGAGGAGGAGGGGGAGGAGGAGGCGCGGGCGCCCCTTAAGGGGCCCCGAAGTGGCGCAGAGAGCGGGGGACACCTCGAGCCAGGGTCTCCGCTCGGCGGCGCGCCTCAGCCGGCGCAGTAAGCCCCAGAGAAGGGGGCTCCATCTCGGAAGCTTGAACATATACACTACCTGTGGCGGGCTGCTTTTTCTGTCCCAGGACTTCCTTGAGGGTCGAGGGCGACACTGGGGTGGTGTGGTGTATACTTTTCTCCCCGATGTCCCGGTGAAGCAATGAAACATGTATACACCAGGGTCCCGTATACACCAGGATCCGCTCTCCAGTGCAGATTTCAATGCAGGGCCGGAACAAGCGTCGGTGTATACAGTTCGCTTCCCCATGATCCTCCTCATTCTTCCCGTCGAAGACCTCCCAGCAGCTGCTCTCGAGAGGAGATGGAGCGGCCGCTCGGCGCCGAAGCCGGAGGGGGCAGGCCGCCTCTCAGGGGGCTTCTCGGGAGCCCCGGGAGGCCGTCTGCGGCTTCGGGGGGCAGGCGCGGGGAGAGCGCAGGCTCGCAAGGCCCGAGGCCTTTTCCGAGCCTGCCGACGAGGCCGCCCCACTCTGCCCGGCCCGTCCGCACCCAGGAGGGAAAACAAAAACAGACACAATGTTTCGTCGCTTCCCCAGAAAAGCACGGGGAACTTTGGGAAGTGGGGGGGAAGACAAAACAAACACGAACAAACATGGGCACATGTGGGGACTCCTGTGATTTGTGCCGTATCTATTCCCAGACATGGCGACGTCCTGATTTTTTCAGGACGGCGTCCCTGGAAGTCCCGACCTTTTCCCCGGGACCGGCTTTTCGTCCCGAGTCGTTTTTTGAGGATCCCGAGGCCCGGCGAGGGCCCTCCGGGCCCGAAAATAGCCAAAAACCTCCCGTCCTCATTTTTTCACGACGCGATCATGTCTTGGTTTGTGTGTGTCCTCTTGCCGCCGCCGGCTTGTCCGCAATCCCCGCGCCGCGCTCGCGGGGCGGCGGGGCGCCGCGGCGCACGCGGCGCTGCGGGAGGGGCACGCGCGGCGCGGCGCCTCCTTCGCGGCGGCGCGGCGCGCGCGCGCTGGCGGCGCGGGCGCCGGGCAGCGGGGGCAGGTCTGGGGCGCAGCGTTAGGGTCGGAGGCGACGGTAGGCAAGCAGTGACGAAGCGTCCTGGCGTGTCTATTCTGCACGAACGAGATAGGCACGGAAAGAACGGGTTCAACGCTCAACAGCAGTTCCTGTTCATTTTGAACAGGACTCGCTGTCCACGCCGCCGCGGCCTGTGCCCATTTGAGACAGAAGGCCGCCTGCCCAACAGCGGCCGCTGTTAGTTCGGGACAACATTTGCTGTTGGGCATTGTGCCCATTTTTTCCGTACCTTCGGGCGTCCAAATCTATAGGCCTACCAAACAATGTTCTAAGAACCATCTGCGGTTCCCGCGAGATGTTCTTAGAGCATTTCTGGCCGAACATGTTTTGTTTTGAGCCCATCGGGTTGATGTTCTAAGAACATTGCTTTTGTTCGTAGAACATGTTTGGGGTTAAAGAACAGTTCGTGGTAGGCCTATGGAAATGCCTGGACGGTCGGTCCCTGCTCAGGATAGGGGCGAATAGCCCAGGGCAGAGCAATACATGTATGCAGGTGCGCCGATGGTCGAGGTCTTCGAAGAGGCTCCCAGGCGAATACGTGTCATGCCCGCCCCTGGGCTATTCTATTCGCCCCTATCCGTCGCCGCCGATAGGGGGAGAATCTGTCGGGTTCGAAGTGCCCGGGCATTCTGGCGGGGAGGGGTGCTGAGGGGACTGTTTCGGATGCCACGCTTCCGGGCAGCGTCTGGGGACAGTTTTTTCGGGGTCGGGATTTTTGTCGGCTGTGTGCGGCTGTCCAGCCTCGGGATGCTCTTCAGCAGCCGCGCCGCGCCGGCGGCGACCCATGGGGTGCCCAGAGCGTCCCGAACGGCCGGCAGAGGTAAGGGGACCCGGTTAGTGGTAGGGCCTTGGAGCCCCTCAATTAGCCAGAGTCACTAAACCAGGTTTGCCGTGGCTGGTGTTTTTTCGGGTGACGGCAGTTCCGGTTAGTGGAGTTGGCGAGGGGGGCGCCCACCCCAGTACAGAGCACCAAACCAGGTCCCACTAAACCCAGTTCTGCCAACGCCCGATTCAGGAGGCAGCGTTGGGGAGGGATTGGTTCGATATCAGCGGAGATGCATTGGCCCTTCGTTCGCCGATGGGCGCCCGAGAGCCCACCCCGCTCAGGAGAGTGCGAGATAGCCATCGGGGGCCTATCGCAGATCTGTCGGCGATGTATTCGCCGATTCCAGGTCGATGTTTCGCCAGAGGGCCCTGGGTCGGGCCCCCCCGCACGTGTACCCTCACGGGCGGCATCGGCGCGGGTTCGCGGACGAGCAACAATGGTGCATGCAGGTGTTGTCAGGAGCGCTTGTTCGGCGTGCCGTTCCGCCGGTGCTGGCTCACTACGCCTCGTCACGCCACACGCCGTCCACGCCCCCGTCCCCAGTGGCGTCAGTGTCCGCGGAGCGGAGCGACACGCCGGCAGCTCGCAGCGCACTGGCGTGTCGCAGGGGCATCGGCGGTGCGGCTCGACGTGGAGCCCGACTTTCTCCACGCCGACGCCGCCGATGCAGCGCCGACGTCGGTGGTGCCGATGCGGCGCGACCCTCCGACCTCGTCTGCCCAGGCCAGGGGCGGTTGGGAGGTGTGTGCCCCCACGTGCCGCCGCGGGGGCATGATCTTGCTGGCCGCACTCCGGCAGGCTCCCCCGATGGCGGAGACGCTGACCCGATACCGTTTGTGGCGTCAGCTGAACACATGAGGGGGCGGGGAGCCGAACCGACGGCGTGCGCGCCAGAGTGGCCCCTCGCTGGAGTGGCTGCTGGCGCGCGGCCCTCCCGGGGGGCGCCGAGGGCCCGGCCCGAGCACGCAGGCCGCCCGCGCGGCATCGCGCGGCAGCGACGGCTACTGCACGTCGCCGAGGCAAGGGCTCCCGAGCGCAGCGGGGCCTCCTGACTCCTCTCGCCGTGCCGCGGGCCCTGCCCTCCTGAGCCGGCAGAGAGAGCGACTCGGGGTGGGCTGCCGGTCTCGGGGGAGGCCCCTCGGGCTCCAGGACCCGTCGCCCTCGATCGGGTTCTCGGTCTTTGTGAAGGCGAGCGATGTGACTCGAAAGTAAGAAGACACAGCACAATGACCATAAACTTTTGGCGCTCCGCGCGGATTTCCCGGATCCGCCCTGCCCTTTTCCCCCCCCAGCGGCGCCTCCGGCGCCGCCCCCCGCGCGCTCCGCGCGCCAGGGAGGGGGGTCCCGCGCGGATCCAAGGAATCCGCGCGGAGCACCGAAAGTTTATGTGAAAGGCATGTATTATTCTTCCTCTTCTTCTTCTTCTTCTTCTTCTTCTCGTGACAGGAGGGGGCCCACCACGCGGGCATTCGCGCGCGAGCTGCCCGCGTGCGGCCGTGCGTATACTCTTTCTCGGTTGGCTGCTCGGTGTGCCGCGCTGGCGGCCCTCGCGATGAAGCCACCGCGCGAGGTCGCCGTCTCCGTGTCGCGTGGGGCCTCTCGGCTCCCGTCGCCCAGGTGGTGTCGCCGCTGCGGCACATCACCAGCTTCTACGACTCCCTGTACGTGGCCAGCGTCGGCGTCGGCACCGTCACCGGCGCCGACAACGTCTCCCGGCCCGAGTCCACGCTGCGCGTCGTGTTCGACACGGGCAGCTCGGAGCTCTGGGTGGCCTCCAGCCTGTGCGCGGCCGGGCCCTGCTCCGACGCGGGCCACCGCAGGTACAGCCCGGAGCGCTCGGAGACGTACGAGGCGGCCGTGCCACGCAGGGCCGTCCACATGGAGTACTGCAGCGGCACGCTGCGGGGGGAGCTCGGCATCGACGACGTGCACGTGGGGCCCCTCCTCGTCAGGCCCGGCGGGGCGGCGGCGGGGCGGCGGCGTCACGGGGGGCGGCCTCCGACAATCTGGGCCTCTCACATGGGAAGTCGTAAGTCGGGCGTGTCCCTCTACAGGGGGAATCTTCAAAAATAGTGTAAAAATAGTCGGGGGACGATTCTTTTTTATTATTTTTGCACACTTTTGATGCATTTCTCGACTATCTTTGCAATCTTGCGCTCAAAATCCGCTGCAGGGGGACATGCCCGACCCAAGGGTAGTCGGAGTGGACGGGGTCGCAGGATCGCGCCGCATCGCCGATGCATCGGCGATGCGGCTCGATGTGGAGCCCGATTTTATCCACGCCGGCGACGCCGACGCATGGCCGATTCGTTCCCGATGCTCCGATGCATCGCCGATGCATCGCCGATGCGGCGCGCTACCCCGACCCCATCCGCTCGGATCCCATCTGCTCGGACCCCAGCCAGGAGGCCTCTGGTGACGGGGGCGGACTCCGGCAAGAGTCAGGAGGGGGAAAAAACATACAGGCACAACTAATCGTCGATTCTCCAACAAATAGGGGAAGATATGGGCAGTGGGGGGGAACACAAAAGCCTAGAAGACATATGGGAAAATCGGGGGCATCCGGTGATCTGTGTGTACTGTGTGTGTGTGTGTGTGTGTGTGTGTGTGTGTGTGTGTGTGTGTGTCCCAGGGCCCCCTCAAAGAAGCCAGGGGGAAGACAAGAACCCAGAACAAGTGGGAAAAGATGGGGCATCCTGTGGTCCGTGTGTATTTTTATCTGTGTGCCCCGGGGCCCCTTCAGAGAAGCCATGGGGGGGGCGTCTCCGCAGCCCGGCCGCCCTCCGAGGCGCGCGCGGGCGGGCTCAGGGGCACGAGGCGGGGCCCGCGGCGCACACGGGCCCCACCGCCGGGCCGTCGAGACGGTGGGCAGGGCGAGTCGGGCGCGCGTGCTCCGCCCTGCCTTCGGTCGGGCCTGTCCCCCTGCAGGTCGACCGGGGGATCGACTGCAGAAGCGATTTACCCCAACATTGATTTTCACGTCGACTCTTCAACAGAAACACGTCAATCATTCGTAGATCTGCGGGAGTTCTACGAATTGCCCGTGGATTAGACAAGAAGAATCAATTCTGGGACAAATGTAGTCGACCCCTACTCGAACAGGGGGATTCTGGGCGAAAAATCAAAACTACTCCAAAGATGCTTCAAACATGATCAAAAACAGGAAAAAACAAGTCCCCAGACTATCTTTGCTACTATGTTTGAAGATCCCCTGGTAGAGGGACAGGCCCGACTTAAGGGCATTGCCTCCTGGAGGGGAGCCACCTGGCGCCTGCTCACAGTAGGCCGCCGCCTCCCTCCCTCCTCGGCCTCCTCCTCCCCCTCTTCCCTTCCTCTTCCCTTCTCCTCGGCCTCCTCTTGCTCCTCTTCCCTTCTCCTCCCTCCTCGACCTCCTCTTCCTCCTCCCCTTCCCTTCCTCTTCCCTTCCTCCTTCTCTTCCTCCTTCCTCCCTCCTCTTCCCTTCCTCCTCCTCCTCCTCCTCCTCCTCCTCCTCCTCTTCCCTTCCTCCTGTGTTTCCATCCCACCTGTTCTTCCGATCCGCCTGACGGCTGGCAGCCACGCCAGTGGACCATCCAGCCTCCCCGACGCAGCATCGTTCGGGCGCGCTGTCCTCCTGTGATCTGACGCATACCGACGACCAGGGGAATCATCAACCGAGCTTGGCTGCGATGCGTCGCTGGGAAAACCAGTCCCCCCGACCCCCGACGGCCCGCCGTCGTGCTTTTGTGCAGCGCCGACCCCCAGACCCAGACACGCGACGTCCTGATTTTTTCAGGACGGCGTCCCTGGAAGTCCCGACCCCTTCCCCGGGACCGGTTTTTCATCCCGAGTCGTTTTCCGACGGTCCCGAGGTCTGGCGAGGCTCCCCTGCAGGGCCAAAAATAGCCAAAATCTGCCCGTCCGCATTTTTTCACGACGCGATCATGTCTTGGGAGCTCTCTCGACCCGGTCCCCAGGACGGGCCTCTCGTCCCGAGCCGTTGCGTGCGTGACGGTCCCAGGGCCCGGCGACGGTCCGGGAGGCCAAGCATTGCGAGACCTCTTCCGCCGTGCTCCTCCTCCTCAACCCCCCCCCTCCTCTTCCTCCTCCTCCTCCTCCTCCTCCTCCTCCTCCTCGTCCTCCTCCTCCTCCTCGCTCCTCCTCCTCCTCCTCCTCCTCCTCCTCCTCCTCCTCTTCACTCTCTCGCTCCTCCTCCTCCTCCTCCTCCTCCTGGTCCTCCTCCTCCTCTTCACTCGCTCGCTCCTCCTCCTTCTCCTCTTCCTCCTCCTCCTCCTCCTCCTCCTCCTCCTCCTCGGAATCGGAATCGGAATCGGAATCGGGTCTCAAGGCATGTGACATGGCTGCCTATCTAAGCAAAAAAGGACAAGGAAGCGAGAGGAGAGAGAGCGTCATTCCCAGGCCCACACCCTATCAGGCGCCCCCCAGTCCTCCAACGGCGGGCTGCAGACATACGGGGCAAGGGGTTCTGGGAGAGAAGACTGGACGGTCGGGAGGTGCTTAAGAAGCAGGGCACCAGTGCTCATGCTCATTCCCTGGCACTCAAGCCCACAGAACAATCCGTGACAGGAAGAGGAGGAACCAAAGATAGAATCGGGTCTGACGACTCGGTCGAAGGTGTGCAAGCTAAATGGCGACACAATAGTGGGAGAACTCGCCTCAAGAACAAACGGAGTGCCTCGTACAGCAGCGGCGGCATGAAGCATCCCTCCCTGTATGATCGCGTCATTTCCTTCCCTGACGATCTGGGCCTCCACGGAGGAAAGATCCCGCCTCCCCCACGGGAGAGCATCGGATCGGAGAGTCCTCCCGTGGCCACGAGGACGACCAGACCCCAAAACGGCGGGGTCGGCCCAAGATGGACCACAGCAGACCCATATCAACGCGACCGATCCAGCCATGACGAGAGGAACCCCGACCGACTCGATTTTACACGGAGGCAGACAGAGGACGTGGTATCCACGCAAGGTGGAGATGTTTTGAACCTGGCACACAGACTCGCTCTTTCCCATGACGAGGATACAATCAGCAGCGACAAAGGGCAGACACGGGATCTCGAGACCGCCAGCGCCAGAACTGGTGCACGTCTCAAGGAGCACGGTGGGATATTCCACCTGATGCCCTCGGGAGTCACCGCGCAAGCGTATCGTAGGCCCCTCGACACGCACCACGGGTTCGCTAGCGAAGTTCTTTGGAAGTCCACGCTTCCTATTCTGTGCCTGAATTTCAAGGGCGAGGCGTCGCCACTCGGGGACTTCAGGAAAGGGAGACAAAGGAAGTGAGAGACGCCACCGACGACGACACACATGTGCACGCTCCTCCTCCTCCTCCTCCTCCTCGCTTGGGACCCGGCGGCCGTTTGGTACCCTTCGGGTTTTGCCTGGAGAGCTTGCGTTGAGGCGCAGCTGCTCGAGAGCAGTCCGGGGCGAGACGGGATCCAGGACCCGCGGCGGCGTCCGCCGTGGAGGGGGCCCGGGCCTCCCTCCGGAAGGCCGCCCCCGTGGGCCCCTCTTCCGGGGGCGCGCCGCCGGCAGGCATAAGTCGGGCCTGTCGTTGTCTACAGGAGGAATACTCAAAAATAGTCCAAAAATAGTCAGGGGATTATTTTTTGAGCATTTGTTAACCATTTTGGAGCAGCGTTTTTGGGGTATTTTTTTGTTCGTCGAAAATCCTTCTGTAGGGGGACACGCCCGACTTAACGGCAGGCGCCAGGAGCTCGGGCTCATCTCGGAACAGAGTGGCAGCGCTTTCCGCCTGCCCTTCGACGGCATTGTCGGGCTCGGCTTCCCCGGTCTGGGCTCCTCTGCCCCCCTGTGGGAGAAGCTGGTGCCGCAGCTCCGGGAGCCGCAGTTCGCCTTCTACATCCACCCCGGGCGGGACGCCGGGGGTGCCGTCCTGTGGGGCGCCCTGGCTACGCGTAAGATAGAGACCTCCTAGATGGGGTCCGAGTAGATGAGGTCGAAGGATCGCGCCATATCGCCAATGCATCGGCGGTGCATCGGCGACGTCGGCGTGGGGAAACACGGGCTCCACATCGAGCCGCATCGGCGATGTATCGGCGATGCGGCGCGATCCTCCGACCCCATCTACTCGGACCCCACCCAGGAGGCCTAGAGTAAGAGTGGCCCTTCGCTGGGATGATCTCAGGCGCCGCTGGGTCCCCCCGCGGTCTTGGCCTGCGCGCTTGGAGTTGCCCCCCCCACCGGCCCCCAGAGCCGCGCACCAGAGGTCGCTCTTGCCCAGGGTCCGTCTTGCGCGTGGCCGAGGTGCCGTGGACCCGCGCCTCCACCGCGGGCCGCTGACTTGGTACCCCGTGCCGAAGGATCGGAGGTTGACAGGCCTCCTACCCTGACACGTCGATCAGCGAATGGGCCGTTTTCGGCTCGCGAGAGGGTGTCGCGGCCGTCAGTTCTGCGGGTCCGGGTCCGTCGGCGTCGGTATTGTAGGCCATTGTCACGAAAAAGGGAGGCTTGCCAAAGGGAGAGGCTTGTCCGCCGCCGAAAGGAGGAGTTCTGGACGCTCGAGCTGGTGGCCCTGCAGGCCTCGGGGCCCCCCAAGCGGCGCGGTGAGCACACCGTGCGAGTCGGCGGGGGGATGCGGGGTGGCCGCACGGGTTTTGGGGTGCGGGCCGTGCTCCGAAGGCGTCTCCAGGCGGCGGGGGCCTCTCCAGGGCCCCAGGCCGTGCGGTGACGCGCCGTGCGGTGGGGTCTTTCTTCGGGGCTGCGAGGTCGCCGCACGGACCGCCGCCGCACCGTCGTGGGCCCTCCTTCTACAGGTCGGCGACCAGGCGTTCCTCTCCCTCGGCGAGGAGCGCGGCCAGGACGTCGAGGCGCACCTCAGCGGCGCCCCCGTCCTGGCCACCTTCCGCCCCCTGCTCGTCGTCGACACTGGGTCGTCCTACTTCACGTTTGGCGGCGACGTGTTCGCGGCTCTGGACGTCGTGCCAGACTACGCGCCGTGCGGGCGGGTGGACCATCTGCCGCCGATCGTGCTTGTGGTCCGCGACGCCGACTCGCGACTGCGAGACCTGGTCATCTCGCCGGCCGAGTACATGGTAGAGGATCTCTGGGCGCAGGTATTGGCATTTTTTCACGCTGGGCGTTTTCGCCCTGATTCGGACCCTGGACCCCTGTAGGTCGATACAGCTCGAAGCACGCCGCAGTCAGGTGGTCTGCAATGGGGCCCCAGTCGTGATTTCTGTCGCGATGCTGTGTTTTTTTTCGCGACGGCGGATCTCAGGGCAGCGGGGGTCAACCTTTCCCTTCTGGGCCACCCTGGCTGACCCTGGCGGAACCAAGGCTGAGAGTCCCAGCGCACGCGTCGTGGAAAAGTCACGTGTGATGTCGTGGTCTCTCGGTGGTGAGAAGGCACGGGAGGAGGAGGAGGAGGAGGAGGAGGAGGAGGAGGAGGAGGAGGAGGAGGAGGAGGAGGAGGAGGGAGGAGTTGGAGGAGGAGGAGGAGGAGGAGGAGGAGGAGGTGGAGGAGAGGAGGAGGAGGAGGAGAAGGAGGAGAAGGAGGGTAGTAGAAGGAGTAGGAGGAGGAGGAGGAGGAGGAGGACGAGGGAGAAGGAGGAGGAGGGGAGAGGAGGAGGAGGAGGAGGAGGAGGAGGAGGAGGAAGATGCATGTGGAGGAGGAGGAGGCGGAGGAGGAGGAGGAGGACGAGGACGAGGAGGAGGAGGAGGCGGAGGAGGAGGAGGAGGCGGAGGCGGAGAAGTTGGAGTAGGAGGAGGAGGAGGAGGCGGAGGAGGAGGAGGAGGAGAAGGCGGCAGAGGAGGAGGAGGAGGCGAAGCAGGAGGAGGCGGAGGAGGAGGAGCGGACCTGGGCCTGGGGGATATACGCCGTGGGCGGCCCATGGGTCCCGACGTGCCTCTCCTGGGCCGCATGCCAGTGCCGGCCTGTCCCCCCCGAGAGGACCTCGAGCAGGGCGACTGCTTCCCGGCGTTCACGAGGGCTGGCAACGAGCAGCTGGAGGGCGATCCGCAGAATTCGAGCAGGGGATCGACTACAGAATGGATTTGCCCCAGAATTGATTTTTCTTGTCGGATGCACGGGCAACTCGTAGGATTTTCGCAGATCTACGAATGGTTGACGCATTTTTGTTGAAGGGTCGACGTGAAAATAGATTTTGGGGTAAATCAATGCTGTAGTCGATCCCCCAGGCGAAGAATCAGAGGGGGGACAGATGCCGATACCGATACCCTTCCCTCGTCGCCATGGTTGGATTCGGGGGACCGCAGACATGGATCAGGGGGGCGTGGATTAGCGACGGGACCCGTTTCCATGGGGAATCGCGGATTTACGCCGCCCAACGAGGCGGCACCAGCCGCATTTTGGGGAGGGCACCTCCCCCGATCCATGAATCTGGCGACCGCGCGCCAAGTCCATGGATCGCTAATCCATTTCTGCGCGCCCCCGACCTCGTCGCCACGGCTGGATCCGCCTCGAAAGTCTGGCCGCAGCGCACCCTTGGAGAGGCCAAGGGAGTTGCGGCAGCGGTGGTATCCCAGACACCCGACGTCCTGATTTTTTCAGGATGGCGTTCCTGGAAGTCCCGACCCTTTCCCCGGGACTGGCTTTTCGTCCCGAGTCGTTTTTGCTGACGGTCCCGTGGCCCGGCGAGGGCCCCCCAGGGCCGAAAATAGCCAAGAACCTCCCGCCCTGATTTTTGTTACGACGCGATCATGTCTGGGATCGGTACCTTTCTGCCCGCCCCTCACCCCCGACACAGCAGGGGGCCACATGCGCCACTGTGCTCGGCCAGGGCCGCCGGACCCCGGGCCCCCGGGCGGCGCGCAGACCCTCCCGGCCGGCAGGCAGGGTCTGCGATCCGCGCCGGGGCCCAGGCTGGCCCTGGCCAAGGCCAAGGCACGGCGTGTGCTCACATATCTAGGCCTCCGAGATGGAGTCGGAGTAGATGGGGTCGGAGGATCGCGCCGCATCGTCGATGCATCGCCGATGCGGCTCCGCCCGACTTCAGCCTGGGCCCCCCCGCCCCCAGCTCCGCCCCTGGCGCGCTTCGCGCGCCAGGGAGAGGGGGTCTGGCGTGGATCCAAGCAATCCGCGCGGAGCGCCAAAAAGTTTATGCTTATGTTTTTGTTTCTTCGTCTAATTTATGCCTTGTGCGCAGAGGTGAGACACTGATAATCCTCGGCGAGCTGTTCCTGCGCAACTACCTCGCCGTGTTCCGCCGCGCGGCCGGCGCCCCCGCGGGAAGCGCCAGCGTGGGCCTGGCGCCGGCCGAGAAGGGCCCGCGCGCTGCGGAGTACTTCGCCGAGGCCGCGGCCGCAGCCGCGGTCGTAGCCAGCTAATTCGAAAAGACCCGGCGGCGCGCGCGAGGGGGGTGGGGCGACGACCGACGTCGCGCATATCCGACAGCGTTCCCCAATCAGTGCTTGCACTGGAGGGAGGGGTCCCAGCGGATTTTCCCCAATCAATGCTTGCGCTGAAGGGGTCCTAGCGGAAGTTGAAAGATTTGGCGAAAGTTTCCCGCCGATTTTGGGAGCAGGCTGGGTTCCCGGGTCCCCGGGTTTCCCGTTTTTGGTTCCGGGCTGAGTTCGGTGGGTTCTGGGTTCCCGGGCCCCCGGGTTCCCGGTCCATCTCCTCAGCGAAAACCATCCACTGATTGTTTTTTTTTCTTTGGTGTAGTGTTTTTCTTAAGCAGCGGTTCGCTATAGAAGGTGTATGAGCAGAGGTAAGGAAGAACCACAGCAGAGTCCAACATCCAGCAGGCAGGGAGGCGAGCCCCAGACCGCCCCGTTCGGCAGCCGCTTCGCCTGAGACCGCTTCGCCTGAGACTTCTGTATGGAGGAGTCGTGCTCTCGCCTCAGTGCTGGCTACACGTCTGACCTGGACGGCCACGATCTTCTGCAAACCAGATTGTCGACGCGGCCAGGCGTGGCCGGGTACAAAAACTACCCAGAACGGGCCCCGGGAAGGGTCTTCGAGGGTATGTCGGCCAGGGGGGCGGCGTGAGGCAGTCCTCTGGAAACCAAAAAACCTTCCGCAGGGGCAGGACGCCGCTCACTCCGCTCAAGGCGGGTCCCAGGACCCCTCCCCGGATCCATCCTGGGCATATTTTCTGGGCCGCATCCGTTTGGCAGCGCGAGTTCCGCCTGGGAGCGCACAAATCAAGCAGTGGCGAAGCGTCCAGGCTCGCCTATAGCCTTACCAAACACTGTTCTAAGAACCTTTTGCGGTTCCCACGAAATGTTCTTAGAACAGTTCTGGCGGAGTCTGGCTTGTTTTAACACATCGGGTTTATGTTCGAAGAACATTGTTTTGTTCTTAGACCATTTTGGGGTTCTGAGGACATTTTCGTGTTGGGACTATCGGAATGCCGGGACGGTCGGTCCTTGCTCAAACAAAGGCCTTCCCAGGTGTCCACCGCCGATGGCCAGCATCGTATATATCACCGACTCCCGCCTCCACCGGGCCATGGCACCTCAGCCCCACGAGGCCTGCCCTCCCGGGGTGGGGGGATGGGCCCCGCGGAGCCCGAAAGGAGCAGCACGTACAGTCAATTTGCATAGTCAGAATGGGCAGCCTTCCCAAGTGTACCCTTGCATCCTTGCCTCCTCGGTCCATCCTTCGCCGCTTTCGCCGGTCGCGCCCCGCTCGAGAAGCTTCGAAATGGGTGTCCAAGGCCCTTGCATCCTGATCGCGCACCCTTACTATACTGGTTGACTGGATTGCAGTCCAGGTGGGCACGTCGGCCAGTGGGGCTCAGGCCATGCCAGTGGGGCTGGGGCCCGGCTCTCAACGATGCTCCGACGGCGTCGTCGTCGTGCCGCACCCCTCTCTGCGCGCGCCTCGGGCTCGCGTGCGGCGTGCCGCTCGGGGACGGCCTCAGCCCGCGCGCGCCCGGGGGCGCGTGCGAGCGGGACCGCCGCCGCCTGCGATCGTGCCGCCCAGCGGCGGCCACACTGCGCGGCCCAGCGCGTCGGCAAGCAAAAACCAGCCTCCGCGCACCATGCCTCTCCCGTCCCGTCCCTGCCCCTGCTGCCTCTGCTGCCCGTCCTGCTGCTGCTGCCCCCCCGGTGCTCCCCTCACATCCTGCCCTCCTCCTCCTCCTCCTCTGCCTCCTCTGCCGTGCCCGCCTGCTCCTGCCGCTGCCTGCTCCTGCTGCTCCTGGCTCTTTTCCCGCTCCCGCTGCCACTGCCACGACACAGTCTTCTCCTCCCCTGTCTCCTCCTTCGCCTCCTCCTCCTGCTGATCCTCTCTCCTCTTCTCTTCGGGCTCCTCCTCCTCCCCCTCCTCTCCCGCCTTCCTCCGTCCCCTCCCTCCTGCTGGGGCCCAGCTCTTTGCTGCCCTTGGGGAGGGGGGGACTCTTCCAGAGGACGGCGGCGCTCGCGACGCCGACGCCATGGTCTCGAAGCTGCTCGAGGACGACCTGTTCATGCCGGTCCGCAAGTACAAGGGCAAGGCCCAGACCGTCTCCGAGGCAGTTCGGGCTGCATGAGCAGAGCGAGGTTGTTTTACGCTTCCCCCTCATGTCCCCATCCACTGCACGGGAGAGGGCCAGTCGGGTTCGCAAGGGCCACATTTCGATATGACGAAAGGTGAGGAGGCTGGGGGCGTGGCAGAGGGGAAGGAGGAAGAGGAGGCTGCGAAGGAGTATGAAGAGTTATCTGGGGGAGATGCTGATGATGATGTTGTTTGCTGATGGTGGTTATGGTGATGACTATAATGCTGCTGATGATGATGATGGTGATGATGAGTGTGATGGTGATGGTGATGATGGTGGTGATGCTAATTCTGATGACGATGACGCTGATGCTGCTGATGATGATGCGGCTGATGATGATGCTTCTGATGATGCTGATTAAGATGATTATGGTGATGATCATGATGCAACTGATAGAGATGGTGGTAAGAGCGTTGCTGCTGCCGATGATGAGGAGGAGGGGAAGGCGAAGGTCGAGGATATGGGGTATGAGGAGGAGAGAAGGATCAGGAGGAGGAGTGTCAACATCAGATGAGGAAAACGATTGAAGGCGTGAACAATACTCGGAATCATAAGGATGATGTGCCTGAATGAGCGGGAGGCGGGTGCAGGAGTAGGGGAGGGGAGATTGGAGGGAGGAGGAGGTCGGAAAACGCCCTATGAGCTTGCCGCTCATGCTGGAGCGAGGGTTCTGTAGCGGAGCCACCGCACTTGTTCTTCAGCTTTTGAGCTGGCACCGGATGTTTTGCACGGCCCGCCTTTCACCACAGAAGCTGCTGGGGATGGCAAAGCCATACGTTGGTAACGACTTCACGTCCAGCCGTGTAGCTGACAGAAGCTTGTCGGACGAGTGTGCGCTGCGCTTGGCGAGAGCCACATTTTGCAAACGATCCGCCCTTTATCCGTGCACCCACTCGCTCGACAGTGCCACGACTTGTGTGGGCGGCGCTCAGGCAAGAGCCACACTTCGAGCACCGCGCGCCCCTCACACTTCACCACAGTTACTACTGGAGGTTTCAGGCTGCGGAGTCACACGTTGAAGACGTTGTGGTCGACGGGCGGGGAGTTGCTGTACATCAGCGGGTCGTCGGGAAAGAACGGGAATGGGACGCTGGGGAAGGATGAGGAGCAGGCGGAGATAGAGAGAGAGGAGGGATGAGGGGGAAGGCCGAGGTGTGGGCGGAAGAGGAAGACACGCAGGAGGAGAGCAGGAGAAGGGTGAGCACGAGGAGGCATCGCTTTTCCGTTGCGTGCTCCGCTGCCTGGGGGATGTCCCTCTGGGCTCCAGCTCACCATCGTCAAGTCGGGTCTGCCCCCCTAAAAATACCATTTTGGATTTTTGTGGGGTATTCTTCATTTTCTGCCCAAAATCCGCCTGTAGGGGGACACGCCCGGCCTAACACCGTCGGCTGCCCCTGGGCCTCCCGGCCGCTCGGCCAGGACTGCAGCAGCTGGGTCGGCGAGGGGCTGCACTGCGAGACCGAGTACCCAGAGCACGCCCTCGTGCGCGACTGGATCCCCGCGGACGCCGTGGTCATGGAGTTCGGCGCGCGCTTCGGCACCACCAGCTGCGAGATCGCGCGCAAGCTCAACAACAGCGGCAACGTGGTGGTTGTGGAGCCCGACCTGAACGTCTGGGAGGAGCGGGTCCGACGAATGAGGGGGGACAGGGAAACAGGGGGGGGATTCGAAGTCTGATGAATGCTTCTGTTATCGTCCGCGTCGGTGGGCGCGTTCCCCGATACATGGGTGCCTCCTGTGCCTGGAGGCGCCGGGGATATCAGCTGCATGCGAGCTGGTTCGCTACCCCCCCCCCTTGCGTCCGACCCGAGAGGACCTCGAGGCGAATCTGAAGTCCCACGAGTGCAACGCCCACGTGCTCCGTGGCGCCGTGAGCGCAGTGGACTTGCACATGTCGCCGAAGCTGAACGTGAAGCGCGGCTACTCCACCAGGGCGCTGCAGAAGGGCGGCGTGTTGGTGCCCGGCTTCCGGTTCTCGGAGGTGGAGGCCGCCATTGGCAAGAAGGTTCGGGACGATCGAAATGGGTACACGTTGCTTATGTCTAAGTCTTCCAAAGTTCTTAATTTTTGTGGGGGCAAGTTTTTTCTAATTGTTCTATCCTGGGCCTCTTCCTGAGCACTAGGGGGCCAGGAACAATTAGAAACCAGCACAATTTGAAATGAGCACAATTAGAAATGAACAACGCGTACTGAAAGAATGGGGACGACGACCAACATATGTTGCTGTCCATTCATTCGAACAGGATTTGTTCTTGGCCCCGCCGCGGGCGCTGTCCATGTGGGCTAAAATGTCGCCAGCCCAAGAGCGGCCGTTGTCAATGTTGGACAGGTTTCTTTGTTGGGTATCGTTAATTTTTGTTCGCACCCGTTCCGAATGTCCAAAAAGGTGGACACTTTGTTGATCGATTGCGAGGGTTGTGCCCAGGACATGATGGACCAGCTCGGCCCCGCCATCGAGAGCGGGCAGATCAAGCTGCTGCTCATCGAGGGCGACATGCCGGTGGGGGCCAAGGATTGCCGCGAGGTCTTGGTGGAAAGGGGTCCCGAGGATCTTCACCGCCTGGGGCCTCGTGGGGTCTTTTTCAGGCTCCCGGGGGATGTCAAACAAGTGTCCAGGATTAAGCACATCTTTGTGTGTTCCTCGAGAACGCCCCCAGGGTCGATGAGCCGCTTATCTCAGGAAGCCTTCCCCTCGTGCCAACAGGACTGCCACTCTCACTGCATGGACTACGACAAGTTCTTCGACTACCTCGCCTTGCACGGCTTCGAGCAGATCGACAAGTTCAACGACTGCGACCGTGCGCGTACGGGTGCTCCTGCGGGCAAGTGGTGCGGGAGCTGGATCGACCACTTCGCCTTCCGCCGCACCAAGTGAGCGCCGCCAGGCCCCAGAGCGCCGTCCATCGCCAATAGTCTTTTGTACAAGTCCGTCTGCAGCTCGTCCAGTCGGCACCAGACGGCGCCGTCGGCATCGCCTCCCTGCGGCGCTGCTCTCGCGAGGAAGTTCCAGGGCGAAAGCGAAAACGCATTCTCCTCCTGTTCCTCCTCTCCCTTCTCTCTATTCCCATGTTCCCTTCTGGTCAATCAGGCTCGCGCCACTGCTCGCGTTGGTAGGGCGGCTGGGAGATTCGTACAGCGAAGAACGGCTTCTAGCTCAAACGGAAAGAAGGCTTGCCCTGCGAGGCCGGTCACAGCACACTGTTGAGCGGTGCCGCAGCCTCCCTCTGGTCGGGCTCGCGCTTTCGTGCCTTCCCCAGCCGGGGCGCATTTCGGCACCCTCTCCCGCAACCTCGTCAGGACCACCGACTGGGGAGAGGGCGGCGGACAGACCTGCGGCGGACTCGCCGGAACCCCGCCGCCTTTCTGTCCTGTCTTGTCGTCGTCGTCGTCCTTGGTTCCTCTGGCTATGCACACCCGCTGCGGATCGGGCGTCGCTTCGTCTTGGCTCTGGGAGGCGTCGGCCACTGCTGCCGTCTCTGTTGACGGTGGCTGTGAAGGGGTTCAGGAGCAAGCCCGACTCGTCGCTCTACTCCAAGGGGTGTGCAGCAACGCTCGACGATTTACTGTTACCCAATATCGCAGTCTGGGTTTTGCCCTTTTGAGGGAGGTACTCCAAATTTCTCCAGAGGAAGACTTGGAGGAAGAGGAGGAGTAGGATGAGGAGGGCATGGACGAGGAGGTGGAGGAGGAGCAGGAAACATGAGGAAGGTTGAAAGAGGACAAGAGGAGGTAGCATGATGGAATGTAGAATACTGTAGACTGCGGAAAGGGAAGGAAGAAACAAAAATGTATAAACAGCAAGAACGTGGAAGGAGGAACAGTACATCGGAGGGGCAAGAGGAAGCTGGCCGAGGAGGGGGGGAGGAGTTGGAAGTTGGAGAGGAAGATGGCCAAGAGAAAGCTGGGGAAATGATGGCGAGGAGTCAGAGGCGGGGGTTGAGCGGGAGGAGGTGAAGGGATGAAGAGGATGAGGAGGGAAGGGAGGAGGCGGATCTGGACTGACCCCGGAGCCGACAGCGTCCAGCCACCCTGGCTCGAGCTACTCTCGCGGCGCAGGGCACCTCTCAGTGGGCCTCCGGCGCCGCTGAGCGGGCCCGCAGGCCATGAGCGCAAGGGCCCTGCCCGCTGCAGTGCTCGCGCTCCTGCTGCGGGCGGCGCCCGCCGCCCTGGGCGAGGCCGCGTCCTGCGACAGCCGGGGCCCTGCGCTGCCCGAGGGGCCCTGCCCCAGCTCGGCGGAGTGCTCGCCGCAGCCGCAGGAGGAGCACTCCCTGCTGCAGAGGGCGCCCGACCGCCGCGGCCTGCTGCAGCAGGCGCCCGAAGGGCCCCTGAGACAGGGCCCTCTGCAAACCAGGGTTATGTCGGGCGTGTCCCCCTACAGGGGGATTTTCGACGAAAAACAACAAATACCCCCAAAATGCCCCAAAAACGTACAAAATACCCCAAATCCCCAGATTATTTTAAGACAGTGTTTTGATTATTCTTGGTCAATTTTATGTTTTTCGTCGAAAATCCCCCTGTAGGGGGACAGGCCCGCCTTAAAACCAGGGCCCTGCTGACGTCGACTGCAGTCGGCCCGGACTAGTGGGTCGACCCTGCCCAAACAGGGGCACCCTCGTGTCCTGTGTCTCGCGACCCATGCCTCTTGCATTCCTCTCGCGTGTCCTGTCCAATCGAGTCCGACTGTACGCGTGAAGAGTGACCCTTCGCCGGAAGGACCCTCTGGTGCGGGCCCACTGGGCCCCCCGCTCGCCGAGAACGCGAGGCGGCACTGGCGTCCTGCGCGCTCGTGTGCTCGGCCCCCCCCACGGGCCCCCAGGAAGCCGCGCACCGGAAGGCCGCTCGTGCCCAGGGTCGCTCCCGGCGTGCAGCCGAGGCGACCAGGACAGGTGCACATGCCATGTGGAGTTGGCGGGGACTGGGGAGTGCCTCGGCCTCGGCTGCAGCCTTCCTGGGCGCGCCACTGCCCTCCTCGGTCTTCACCAGAAAGACTCCGCTTGCGGGCCCCGGAGGCGAGATCGCACGTCGTGAGCAGCGTTTCGAGCCGCTGGGCTGGCAGGATCGTCTACGGGGTGCTCACCAGCAGCCTCGCGAAGTACCACGAGAAGCTCGAGGCGCAGCTGGCGACGTGGGCGGCGCGCCCCGCTGGCGAGGGCAGGTTTGCCGCCGTCGGGAGCAACGACCTCCCCGAGGAGTGGCAGGTCGATGGCGTCGTCCTCAAGTCGAACTGCGGCGACGGGATGGATCAGATATCGTGCAAGGACCAGGGGCAACGTTGGAGGGGGATGGGCTCAGGGGGGGAAGCGTGAAGCCCCAACCGCCCATTCGTCGCCGATACGGGCCCAATAGCCCACCCAGCCCAGGAGCGTGCGGATTTGCTAGCGGGGTCCTATCGCCGATCTATCGGCGACCTATCGCCGATTCCAGGTCGATGCTTCCCCTCCAGAGCCAGTCCCCCCCTGGCGTTCCCCCTCAAAAGGAGGGGGCCGTGGTGAAGGAGACTGCCGCGCGCGGCGCCGCTTGGGCGGTGATCCTCGGCGACGACAACTACGTGGACACCGGGAAGGTCGAGGCGTTCCTCGGCTCGAAGGATCCCGAGGAGCTGGTCGCGTACGGCGTTGTCGGCTGTGGCAAGGGGACGCCGTATTGCCAGGACGTCCCCGATTTCCAAGCGCGCGGTGGATTTTGCGGGGGTGGCGGGTATTTCCTGAGCAAGGCGGCGCTTCAAGCACTGGCTGGTGAGCGCTCGTTTTATCATGACAGAATGTCGTGGCCGGGCGACATGACCACAAGTTGCCTGCTCTACAAGCACGGCGTTCGCATAGAGAACGTCCAGCATGGCATGTATGCAAACCCTTTCGATTCGGAAGCGAAGCTGGATGACACCGTGCGGTCAGGGTTCTGGACGTTGCATTATTTGCAACCCTCACAGATGCGATGGGTGCACGGCATCGCATCGAATGCCTCTGAGGCTGAAACCGCAGAATTGGAGTCACGTGCGTTTCCCTCGAGTGGGTGAAGGCAATCACCGCGCTGTGCAGTGCTGACTATGCCCGGCGTTTCAGGATGGGGCATGTTTGTTTCTGGTTCAATGCAACGACAGGGGAACGTGTCACCAACCGCCCCGATGAATGATGCGTTGGGTAAGCTTCCGCTGAATAGTCTTACGTTGGACGGTTGGATCCTGTGTGTGGATGTATCTCGAAGGACAAAGTGTCATTTCTTTTGGCGAGGCAGGGTACGCGAGCAAAAGTCTCCGCTGCCAGCGCCATGCATCGCGAGCGAGGCAGCGGTTGGTCATGTCTGATTTCGGCCGATGTTTCCGTGGAGGAAACGCACGCGTCTCCTTCAGACTTTCCAGCAGTGGGCACATGCAATAAACGTGCAGCCTGCAGCCAGGTGCCCAACGGACATTTCTTGATTCCCGATAGCTCTGGGGTCCCGCGGGGTGCCTAGTGAGGTCGAGTATCGATGGTGCTTCTAGATCTTGTATTGCAGAATTGCTTGTAGCATGCCTGTCCTGTATTCTAGTCCGCCTCCCGCTCCTTCTCTCTTCTCGACGGGGACGCGAAGGTGAAGACTTCTGGGCGCGTCGGCGATAATGCATTCGCGTGGCGCAGGGCCAGGTCAGATATTAGGTTCGTCGTTCTTGAAAGCTGTTGAGCGCATGCATGTTGGCCATCAGATCTTGATTTCAGGATGTCCTCAAGATGCCTTCGGCCTTCAGTGCTCGACGAGTCTTCCCTTCAGTTCCCTTCCTGTTTGTTCTGAGGGGGGGGTCGGCAGCCACGCACAGTCTACGTCAGCGTCTTCCTGTTTCGAGTCTCTGCCTGTGCGCTCCTCCCCAGGCCCTCGTTTTGGTTTAGGCCAGACTTTATGTGGCCCCTCCTCCACACCCGACTGTCTTGCACGTCTTGCACACTCGTCCCCCTCCCGCTCCTCGTTCCACCTCCTGCGTCCTTCTCTCCTCCCCTCTCCAGTTCCTCCTCCATCCTCGATTTCCTCCCCCCCGCCACCTCCAGGGTCCACCATGATCCGATCGACCCGATTCGGCATCGATTCCGGCCGGATCGAGCCGATTCGATCCCGATGTTCCGACGATCCGATGCGGTCCGATGTTTGACACGGTGCTTTTGAGCATCCTGGCGCCGATTCGCTTCCGCTTCGGTTCAGTGCCGGTGCACCCCGATCCGACTCACATTTCGATTCGATGTCGATTTCCCGATTTGATTTTGACTAATCCTGCCCCTCCTCTTCCCTTACCCTCTGGAAAAGGGTGTGCAAGGTGGGGTGGCCGCTTTGCCACCTCCTTCGGCTGCATGTAAGCACTTGCAAGCGACTTGCAGCCTGAAATCGAAATCTTTTTTTTTTCCAGCATTGGCTTCTGCTGCGTATTTTCGAATTGACCTGATGTGTTCCACCTGTGGTGCTCCAGTCGCTGAGCGAAGGGTGTCTGATGAGAAGAAGTCCTACTGCCGCCTTGAGAGGTCCCGGCCAGCCTCCTGGATCCCGCCGCGGTCAACCTTTGATTCTCTGGTGGCTTGCTTCTCCACCTCAAGCTCGCCTCGACGGCTCCAAGGCCCCGCCAGCCCTCCCCACACGAGGCCGAAAGGTCGCTAGGGGACCACATGCGAACCCTACTCTCCCCACGATTTCTGAGGGGGAGGGTGGGGGGTCAATTCGCTCGGGAGCTCCCGAACGAAGTGACCCCCCACCCTCCCCCTCAGAAGTCGTGGGGGGTAGGGGTAGGGTTCGCCTGTGGTCCCCTATCCGCAGAACCTCCCGCCGCGATCCACGACGCAGGGAGGTCAGGATCTGCAGCCTCCCCCTGCTCCCGGCCGCGCTGTCGCCTCGTGTTTTTGTTCCCGGCCGCGGTGCCTCGGGGGCGTCCCCGAGGCACCGCGGACCTCTCGATGCCGTGGGCCCACGCCTCGGTCACCAGCATCCTCCCGCCCTCCTCCTCCTCCTCCTCCTCCTCCTCCTCCTCTCCTCCGCCTCCTCTCCCTCCTCCTCCTCCCTCCTCCTCCTCCTCCTCCTCCTCCTCCTCTCCTCCTCCTCTCCTCCTCCTCCCTCCTCACCTGCTCCTCCTCCTCCTCCACCTCCTCCTCCTCCTCCTCCTTCTCCTCCTCCTCCTCCATTCCTTGTCCTCATAGATAACTTCTCCCTGTCGCACCCCGAGGCCTGTCGAAAGGGCGGGTTTGGCGTCTTGCCTGAGAAACTCCTCACCATATGTGACCCTGACGCTACAACATCGACGACATTTTCACATATAGAAGGCGGATCGTTTTCAACATGTGGCTCTCGCCTGGGCGCCGCGAACATTCGTTTATCAAAAGATGCAAGAGCTTCGCGGATTGAGGATGGCTCCTTTTCAAAAAATGTGGTTCTCGCCTTAGCGCCGCGCACACTGGCAGTTGCAACCCAGCTGAACCGGGCGTACTACGACGTAGCCAAAGCTCTGCTGGGTTTGCCGCCGGCCGCATCCATGGGCACTGGGGGCTACGTGCGCCTGTTCCTAGAGACACGGTTGTTGACGCGGGCTTCGAGCAAAGTGGCCTTCCGGATCGTTATGTCATGGGCCCGGATGCTCCTGTTGCCGGAGCAGACGCCGATTGCCCTGGCTGTGCGGGCAGCGCTGGCGCGCCAAGGCGGTTGTTGGCTGCATGACGCCGCCGCGGTGGCCGCCCTTTTCAGGGTGGGGGCGCCGCCGGAGAGCCTGGCTGTCGCGGCCCAGGCGGGTGCGCAGGCGAGGCGGCGCGCCCTTCGCGGCTGGGCTCGCTCGGCCGTGTTGCCGCGGATCCGCGAAACCGAGCAGATCTGGTTCCGGGAACAGCTGGGCCGCTTGAACGACAACGGCGTCGCACCTATCGCGGAGGTCCTCCCTCTGCATTGCGACTGGCCCCCCGCCGCGGGGCCCCCGCCCTCAGGTGTGCATCGTGGGGGCGAACTATGTGGCGGTTCCACCGTGCATGGTGCGCCGCGCGCGTGTCGCTCCAAATCCCGGTCGGGGTCTGGGGATTGCCGGCGGAGCGCCTGCCCGAGGCGTGCCCGTTGTGCGCTGGTGGCGCGGTCTGCCTCCAGCACCTGATTGAATGCTGTGCCGCCATGGAGGCCCACCGGGAGGCGGTGCATGCCGCGTGGGTCCCGCCGAGGGGCGAGCTCTTGCTGTGGGCGCTGCGGGACACGCTGGACGTGGACGAGCTAGCTGCCAAGGTGCGGCTGATAGGCGTAGCCGCCTCGACCTTCGTGCACGCATGCTAGCGCCGGACGGTCAGAAAGGGGCACTGCGCGCGTCCCGTGCCTATAGGCACTCCTCCACCGCCCCCCCCCCCCCTCTTTGCCTACAGGCACGCTTACAGGCACTCCCCCATTCCCTGCCTACAGGCATGCCTACAGGCATGCCTACAGGCCCTCCTTGCCTATAGGCACTCCCCCCCCTCACTCCCTCCTCCTTCCTCCCTGCCGACAGGCACGCCTACAGGCCCTCCTCGCCTATAGGCGCGCCTACAGGCCCTCCCTGCCTAAAGGCACCCGCGTTCCCCAACGGCAGCGCCTACAGGCGTTACCTGCGGGGCCTTCCTGGCTGCGACGACCAATCGGGCCTATAGGTCGCGGGCGCTCGCAGAAGGGAGGAGCGCCGCGTACACGCGGGAACCAACCCAAGAGGTCACAGTCCAATGGGTCCTCCTCCTCCTCCTCCTCCTCCTCCTCCTCCTCCTCCGCCTCCACCTCCTCCTCCTCCTCCTCCTCCTCCTCCCTTCTCCTCCTCCTCCTCCTCCTCCTCCTCCTCCTCCTCCTCCCACCTCCTCCTCCTCCTCCTCCACCCCCTCCTTCTCCTCCTCCATTCCTTGTCCTCATAGATAACTTCTCCCTGTCGCACCCCGAGGCCTGTCGAAAGGGCGGGTTTGGCGTCTTGCCTGAGACTTCCCCACCATGTTAGACCCTACAACATCGACGACATTTTCACATATAGAAGGTGGATCGTTTTCAACATGTGGCTCTCGCCTGGGCGCCGCGAACATTCGTTTAACAAAAGATGCAAGAGCTTCGCGGATTGAGGATGGCTCATTTTCAAAAAAGGTGGTTCTCGCCTTAGCGCCGCGCACACTGGCACCTGAGAGAGCTTCACGGATTGATGGCGGGCCGACTTAAAATGTGATGATCGACCTAGCGCCGCGCACATTCGTTTAAGATATTTGGAAAAGCTTCGCGGATTGAGGACGGTTCGTTTTCAAAGTGTGGTTCTCGCCTGGGTGCCGCTCACATTAGTTGTAATTTTTTGGAAGAGCTTCACGGATTGAGGACAGTTCGTTTTCAAATGTTGGTTCTCGCCTTAGAGCCGCGTGCATTCGTTTTTAGCACTTGCAGGAATTATGCGATGTTAGCGCGGTTCGTATTCAAAGTGTGGTTCTCGCCTTAGCGCCGCGCACATTCGTTCTCAACATTTGGAATCGTGTCACTGGTTGTCATGGCTAACGTGCCAGAAGTGGCGTGCTTGTCCGATTCAATAATATTGTCAGGGTGCAATCGTTACACTGATTCCTGGCGTTGCATTCCCAGGAAGGGTGTTCTGAACGCCAAGACGTAGCAGTCAGGTTAACCCGTGGCATTGACGTGTCAGAAGCTCTGGGGACCTGTTGAGACCTCTAGGGACCTCCAGGGGCCTCCGGAGACCTGTAGAGAACTCGTGGTCGTCCTCCCCCCTCCTTTTCTGTGTCATCTGCCTCCCCTAACCTCTCTCTCTTGCTCCTCCTCCTCCTCCTCCTCCTCATCCTCCTCCTCGTCCATCTCCTGCTGGCTGCGCTGGCTGCTCTCTCGGGCGGGAGGCATGCAGACAGGATGCGAGTGCTCCGCGTGGGTTCCCCATGTGTCGGGATCCGCGTGGGCGAAGGTAGAGTCGCGACGACTTTGCAGGCGCCGCCCCAGGCCTCGTTGCCCGCCAACTAGTCTCGTTCCTTCTCAAGGCTCGCCGCGCCGTGGGCTTGTTAGTGTGTGCGATGGTGCTGGCCTGGCCGGTGGTGACACCTGTTTTGCTCTACCTCTCAACTCTCTGCGCGTTGCCCTTACGGCGCATGCGTCTCTGGAGGGCATCCCGACTCATAGTGCGGGCGCTGTCCCCCGTGGGGTGGGCATATGCGGATCGCTCTTTTGGTACGATCATCTTTCTCTCATTAAGTTCGGGGCATGTCCCGAGTCCTCAACCCGCGCTTGAGGAGAGCATGGCAGCAATATTCTGGACAGTGCAGGCGACTTCGGCACTCCAACGGCAGTCCAGTCCAGTCCTGCTGACTGGTCATCGTCCTGATGCTGCTGCTCTTGGCCCTCCAGGAAACTGTGCGAGCATACTCCCGCACGCTCGGGTTCAGCAGCGCTGTGGCCGGGGCTGCGGCGAGAGCGCCGCTCCCAATCGAAACGTGGCCGGCCCCGGGAGGCCCAGACGCCAGCAGGTCGGGGAGCAGAAGCCACTGGGATTTGCAAGGGGGATGTCCGCGGCACCGCAATGTGCGTCTTGCGGACTCGCGCGCAGAAGCGCGCGGGGGAGCACGCAACATGTCCACGTTTCCGACGGTTCACGGAGGAGGATCGCTGACGCAGCGCGATCGTGCATCAGCACTTGCTTGGGCAAACCTTCTGTGTATCATTCTGCGCGAACGAAATGGGCACGGAATGACTGGGCACAATGCCCAACAGCAGCTCCTGTTCATTTTGAACAGGTCTCGCTGTCCGCGCCGCCGTGGCCTGTGTCAACTTGAGACAGAAGGCCGCCTGCCCAACAGCGGCGGGCTGTTTGCTTGGGGCAACATTTTGTTGCTGGGCATTGTCCCCCATTTTTTCCGTGCCCATTTCGGGCGACCAGAATCATGCGTTTCCCACCGTCCACCTGCGCCATCGCCCGCCCCGCCCTGCCGATCCCCAGCCCGTGCACAGCGTTCGTGGTCAGACTCTTGGCGTGTTTCCCGCTCCGACGAGGCGAGAGGCAAGCGGTGGCGGCGAATATTTCGCTAACCATCCTGCGGAGACTTCGTTACCCAACGCCCCCCAGAGTATCGGGTCCAGTGCGCCCGTCAAGGACATTCCCCGCCCCGAATGCCGGTGTGCCTCTCCGCGGATGCCCCCTTGGCACCCCGGCCCCGTTTGGCCCCGCCGGCAGGCAGCAAGGGAAGATGCGGCCCGCACAGGCAGTCCCTTGTCTGGCACTGGGCTGCCCCCCGCCAGGGGGTGCGTAGCGGATTCGTGTGTTTGTGTGTGTGTTTGCTTGTGCTTGTGTGTGTGTGTGTTTGCTTGTGCTTATGCCTGTGTTTGTGTGTTGTGCTTGTGCTGGTGTTTGTGGTTGTGTGTGTGTGTGTGCGTGTGTGTGTGTGTGTGTGTGTGTGTGCGTGCGTGCGTGCGTGCGTGCGTGCGTGCGTGCGTGCGTGTGTGTGTGTGTGTTTGTGTATGAGTGTGTCTCCTTCTCTCTCTCTCTCTGCCTCCCTTCTGCCTCCCCACGCGTCTGCCTTATTGTTCTCCCCTCCCTGCCCGCTCCTCTCAGTCCTTGGCTCCCCTCGCTCTCTCTTGCCTCCCCTTCCTTACCTGCCTTACCAGTCTCCGCCCCCTTCCCCCTCTCTGTCCTCGGTCCTCTTCGCTCGTTCGCCGCCCAGCCTTCTCGTATCCCCGATTGTGCCCGTCCGCCTTTCCGCCTGGCTCCCTGCCGCCCACGCGGCATCGGGCGTCCGCAATAAGGTCGTTCTCTTTCAATGCCTCCGCGCGGGCGCTGCCACACGCCTTGTCACGCGCGCGCGCAGGCACCACCACTGACGCACCCTCGCCCACGGTCCCGCTTGCGGAGGGCTGACACCTTTGGATCGGGCATTGCATGGTCACTCGTCCAACTTATGAGTGGGCAGAGCAGCCAACGAGCGCGCCCAGACTGATCAGCGCTTCGAGCAAATTGATGATGAGCGGCTCCTATGATCATCATTCCACTTTCGGAGAGGTAGGGAGAGGGAGAGAGAGAGAGAGATAACAACACACAGGCAGAGAGAGAGAGAACTATAGAGAGGGGGGGGGGAGAGAGAGAGAGAGAGAGAGAGAGAAAAAAAAAAAAAAAAAAAGATAGAGAAACAGTTAACAAGAGAGACAGAGAGAGAGAGAGAGAGCGAGGGAGAAAGATAACGAGGGAGAAAGAGAGACAGAGAGAGAGAGAGACACACACACACACTCACACACACATACACACACACGAGCAGGTGTTGTTGCCAGGTTCCCTGGGGCGCCAGCCTGGCCAGGCCGTCACAGACGGAGGGAGCGATGCCACGGTCCAGGCCCGCACGGCCGCCCGGACCCGCCAGGTACAACATCCTCCGGGAGCACAGCGAGGGCTACTCCAAGCTGGCGTTCCTGCTGGGCCGCCTCGGGTCTCGGACTCCTAGCTGCGGCCAGCGGCTGCTCAGGCGCCCAGAAGTGGAGAGAGAGGACTACAGGAGGATGGGGAGGAGGACGAGGGAAGCAGCAATACGGCATGGTTCGGTATTGGAGGGGCCGCAGTATTGGAGGGGCCGTATTGGCAATACGGTGGTTGCGGAGACGCCTGCGGCGAGTCACAGCCAGTCTCTGCCTTTCAGAAGCGCTTGTGACGCGAGATGGCGAGGGAACGTGCTGCTCCGATAACTGGTGCACTGCGTGCCCTCCAGCTGTCGGGGGAACCACTGGGGGGGGAATACTGGAACTGGGCCCTCTGAGGCCGTCTTGCGGCCATTTTGGACGCTTTTGCGTTGCTGTCGGGCCATCTGGCGCCTTCGGAGTCCGTCGTGGGTCTTGGGGGCCTCCTTAGACAGTCTTGGGGTCGCTCTGTAGGGCAAACTCGGGCCTTCTCAGTGCTCTCTTGGGCCTTCTCGTGGCCGTCTTGGGCCGTCTTGTGATACTCCCGTGGCCCGTGTGGCTGTCTTGGGCTTGGTATCTTAGACCTCGCGGTCCATCGTGGACATTCTTGGGACCGAACACATGAAGATCTATGTGAATACGCATTGGGCACGCACCTGGTTATTTTGAAATGTTTATGTTTTTTCCGTAAGTCTGAGTGGCGATGTTGAACGTTTACGTTGCATCGTGTAAGGTTGATGATCGGATGGTGTTAAGACTGATATCGGCGGCGGTAGTGAGGAGCGATATGGAAGGAGGGCGGAGAGACGAAGAAGGGAGGCTGGATGAGGAGAAGGGGCGAAGGATGGTGATGAGGAGGTGGAAATTGAGAGGGGGTGAGGAGGAGGAGGGAGGAAGGGAGGAGAAAGAGGTAGGGCGCTGGAGGGAGGATTGGTTAATTCTAGACGCTTCGCGTATCCCCACCAGCATTTTGGCTCCTGGATTGCTTCGGCTCCGCCGCCCTGGACGCTTTCGTGAGCCACCTGATCCGCGGCCCCGCGCGCGTTAGGTAATTTAGTCGCGTCCGCGGCCCGTTCGCGACCTCCCGCCGCTGGCGCTTCCGCCAGCGGCTGTAAAAAAAAATCCCCACCAGCCATTCCGACGCTATAACGCTATTCCGACGAGGTCTACCCAGCCACCCCTACCATGCGGCAGGCCACGACCGACATTCCCGAGGACTGGTGCAACTACGACATGTCCACGCACCTTTCCCCAGCCAGCCAGGCCCCGGGCACGGGCACCGACACTCTGATCCCACCAGGCAATGACCAGTCGGCACCGCCCCCCCCCCACTGCCCTCGAACAAACGGGTTCGACCCACGGAGCCACCTTCCCCTACTCCTTTCCCGACCTGCTGCCGCCCCCTGCACCCCTGCTGCCCACATACTCCACCCACCGTCTGGCTGGGGAGGAGTCGAGAGCCCCTGTTCGCGCTCTGGTGAGGTACCTGATTGAGGAGTGGAGCCACTCTGCCTACACCCTCTGGGCGGCCTACGCGCAGCGGTTGGGAAAGGACATTGTGGGCGACGTGGCTGACGAAACGGAGTGGCCCTTCGAGCACCTGCTGCCCTTCCTGGACTCTATCTACGGAGAGGAGATCCCCAGCAACGGCCACCCCCCGCGCATCCCATTGGACGGTAAGAGGGCCGCAGCCGCCAGGGTTGTCTCACACCTGGTGGATAGCAGCCCAAAGTACAAGGAGGAATGGGAGCGCTACGCCAGCAACCTCGACAACCAGAAAGGGCAGTGCCCCTACCGACAGCCGTTGCATGCCCTCGCGCAGTTCCTCGCGGGACTGGAGAAGTACCTTACCAGAGGGACAATAGAACTCCTCGCCACCCAGCCCCAGGATGCGGCGACCAGAGGGTTAGAAGGAGAGCCGCCCCTTGCCAGATGGCTCAACAGGCCCCAGGGGAAAGCGGAACTGCCCACGACCGACCAGCTCGCTGAGGAGCACGTCGCCCCCCCCCCTGCCTGCGCCAGCGTCTCCCCCCGACAACCCGACGCACCAGGCCAGCCCGATGGGTCCCCCGAAGAAGTGCCTTCCTCATCAGAACACTGGAACGCCGACGGCGACGTGGAAGGGATGGACTGGGACGACGACGCCAACGAGAAATCCGAGACGGACGACAGCCCGACAGGTCCCCCCGACCCAGAGCAGCAGGACAGGTCAACGCACCAGGCTGATGACGCAGACAATCCAGCACACACCTACTGGACGGCGGCCCAAGGTCCCCCCCCCCTGTGGACACAGCCCCCTCACAGGGCCGATTCGAAAGCCTGGCCCCCATGCGCGCAGGCGTCCGATCGAGGAGCACCGAGCGACGCATGTAGGAGGGTCGAAGCCCGCCCCAACGAGGAGCGAACCTGGAACGTTCACGCGATCGGCGACGGCCGGACACTCAGACAATCGGGGAGCGAAGCAGGCCGCCGACCACCCACAATCGCCGCAGACTGCAACAGAGAACATTCAGCTACACCGCCCCACAGCTCTAGGCCTCCTAGATGGGGTCGGAGTAGATGGGGTCGAAGGAGCGCGCCGCGTCGCCGATGCATCGCCGATGCGGCTCGATGGGGAGCCCGATTTGCTTCGCGTCGACGTCGCCGATTCATCGCTGGCGTCGACGATGTATCGCTGGTGCATCGCCGATGCGTCGCCGATGCATCGCCGATGCATCGTCGATGTATCGTCGATGCGGCGCCATCCTCCGACCCCATCTACTCCGACCCCATCTAGGAGGCCTCTAACAGCTCACCCAGGCCTGGGCACAGCTCACAGGACTGGTGGCGCGAAGCCCAGACACCATCAATCCCACCTGCACGCCGTGACGACCCCATGGGTGGCCTCCCCATGTACTTGAGATCCGTTGACGACGCAGATGTCGCAAGGGGCGAATCGGCACCAGAAAGGATTATACGAATGCAGAAGATGCTGGGGGGGGGGGGGGCGCTTTCAATGGGGCGTGGGGCGCCTGGGCCAGAAAGGTGGCCCACAAGCAAGGGAGCGCCTGGGTCAACATCAAGTCTGACCCCAGGCGGAACACGGTGCAGCAGTGCGACGACTTCTTCCAGGCATGGAGCAAAGTTGGATACGACGCCTACAAGATGGACAGATAATACCAGCTCCACGTTGACTGGCCAAACGTCATGGAGAAGCAGCGCAGACACGCAGCGCGACGCCAGAGTACGCGCAGTTGAGCCGCCCATCGGAAGCGGACGCTCAAGCCCGTGGGCCGACGAGGGCAAGGGGGCTACAAAGAACCCCCCTTGGGTCCCCGAAGGCAGGTCCTACGCACGGACAGGTGCATCTGGATCCGCAGCATCATGGCGTACTTGGCAGTCCTGGGACGGGTGGGGGCACCAGCGAGACACATGGATTGACACGGACTGGAAGGCCAAGGGTAAGCGGTCCCCCCCCAGAGGAGAAGCCCACTACGCAGACAAGCGACAGCGGGGTTGGGATTTCGGCCCCAAGTGATCGGACAGGGCCTTGCCTCGGGCGCCCATCAACCTTCCCCCCAGGCCGGGGGAAGTGCAGCATCACGGTGTTGCAGTGCACCCACGGTGTTGCAGTGCACCCTCCCTCCAAAGTCCCTCGTCACCAGTCCCTGAACGATGTTTAATTGCGGGAAGTGGCACATGAAACGGTAATCGTTTGAGAGTTCCCAGTCGTGCCGGAACACATCTTGACATTTGAACACGTCATCAACGTTACACTTGCGCCTTGACAGTCCTAAGTCGCGCCAGACTGCCAGTCCTCGGACGTCACACCACGAATCAGTGTAACTCTTGCGCCGTGACGATCCTCAATCATGTCAGGAAGTCGTTTCTGGGACTTCGGCCATACGAACGCTTAAACTTGCTGTCGCTGTTGGGACGAATGCACGCGGCGCTAAGCCGATAGCCGCACATTTTGAACCCCCCCGCCCTCCATACGTGAAACTGTTGACGCGTGTGCGCGTTGTCAGGGCGAGAGCCACATTTTGAAGAAGCCACCCGAAGACGAATGCGCGCGGCGTCGAGGCGAGGATCACATGTTGGAAGCGGCCGGCCCTCCGCCAGTGAGGCTGCTGCACACTTCCAGGGCGAACGCGCGCGGCGCGAAGGCGAGAGCGCATGCTGAAGACCGCCCGTCCGCGAAGCAGTTGCAAACTTCAAGCTTCAGGACCATGCACGGCGTCGAAGTCTCTGGCGAAACGCCCAGCCCGCCCTACCGACACGTCTGGGGGCGCGACAGGGATGAGTTATGTTTTCATGGAAGAGGGGGGGGGGGGCGGGGGAGGACGGGGAGGAGGAGACGGAGGAGGGGGAGGAGAAGGACAAGTGGGAGGGGAAGGAGGAGGGGGGGGAGGTGGAGGGAGGAGGAAGAAGAGGGGGCGGAGGAGGAGGAGCACGAGGAGCAGGAGGAGTGGAGGGTGGGGAGGAGGAGGAGGAGGAGGAGGAGGAGGAGGAGGAGGAGGCGTTCGCGTTCTGCCAGATGCACTCAGACTTGCCAGGGGCAATCCGCAGATGGGCTATGCCGAGGCTGTTCGTTCACCCCAGGACGCTGCCATGACCCTTGAGTTACCTCGGT